TCGATTATCATTTCAATTTGATCAGCTTCTTGAATGAGTCTTGGCATTCCTCAGACCACTGGAACTGGATCTGCCCTTCTGTGAGTCGGGTCATTGGTTTGTTGTCAAACCCTAGCACATATCTGCGGTAGTAGGTACACCAACCATAGAAGCTCCCAAGCTGATGTATGTCTTTTGGAGTGGGCCAATCCTGCTTTGATTTATTGTTCGTCTACCGCCACTCCTTCCCCAGAGACAACGTGGCCAAGGTAACGGACTTCTTTCTGGAACAGATGGCATTTTTTGGGACTAACTTTCAATCCAGAACTTCTCAGACGCATGAATACCTTCTCCAGATTTTTTGAGTGATCGTCGAAAGATTTTCCGACCACGATTATATCGTCGAGATACACTAGCACTAGAACCATCTCCATCAATCTCTCAAAGGTCGCTGGAGTATTACAAAGACCGAATGTCATAACCGTGAACTGCCACAATCCTAAGTCGATGGTGAAAGCTGTCTTTTCTCGATCTTGAGGGGCGAATTCAACTTGCCAATATCCACTCTTCAAATCCAAAGTCGAGAAAATTGTGGATCCGGCTAGCGTGTCTAGGATGTCGTCGATTCTTGGTAGCTGCCTTTCTTCGTCACGTTATTTAGTTGGCGATAGTCCACGCAGAACCTTGTCGAGCCGTCCTTCTTCTTCACGAATACGACTGGGGAAGACCAGGGGCTGTCAGAAGGTTCGATGACTCCTTTTTTCCATATCGTGACTATCTTGTCTGCCTCTCCTTTCTTGGCAAGAGGGAGTCTTCTAGCTGATTGCCGGATTGGTCGGGCATTCCCAGTGTCGATTCTATGCTGAACCACATTCGCTCTGCCGCCTTTTCCTTCTCCAATATCGAAGATTTCCTGGTACTTCTTGACTAACTCGCCCAATTCAATCAACTTCTCCAGCTCTTTAGGCAAGTTGTTGGCTTCTCTAATCGAACTGCGTACACTCCGTATCACAGAGGAAATGGACGAATTGTGCCCTAGCATTGGTCACGGGAAAGTAGTTGACATTCATGTCCCTGATCGGCACAACTTTATCAACACGCAACAGGGGCTTTCCCAGTGCGATTCCTAGTCCAATTTTCTCATCATGTATCTTGGGCTCGAACATTACCACCTTGCCGCTACATGCACTTCCGTCCAAGCGAGCCTCTAGGATGGTTTCAGCCCTCTCAGGTACGCACACGTCTTCAGCCAACAGAACCCTGATCATATATTCGCTTCTTCCATGAAGCACCAGCTCTTCTCCGCCGACACGTAGGACGCCGTCTTGAAAATTCAGCTCGAACCCTCTGGAATTCATGTCCATTCCAATAATCGCATCGTCCTCGATGTCCGCCACCAATGCTTGATGGTTCAAAAGAGTGCTGCCCAACACCAATTCGATTGGTAGTTTTCCAAGTACAATGGCTGGCTCCCCTGTTGCGGTGCCGTAGCTTCCAAATTGACGGTACAATTCTTGCCGGTTTTGGTTTTGGCAAAGGTTGGCCCAAGAATGGTTCTCGTCGCACTTGTATCTAGCAGCATGGTGCAAGGCTCCTTGTTGATGAGGCCGTCTTCGAAAACACCTATGTCTTGTCGTTGGAGAATGGCAACATATGCGTTTTTTACGGCGGCTTGCTGGGTACAGTCCGACGATTGCCCCTTCTCATCGACCCCCTATAGTTTTCCTGATTTGGTGTCGATTCTTTGAATGCAAGATATTTGTTACGCACATGCCCCACTTTCCCACAGTTCCAGCATCTTATTTGTTTTCTCTCAGGCAACACTCCTTTCATTACCTTTCTGATGGTGGCCTCAATATGAGCAGGCACCTGTCCATCTTCCTCGAACTTTGGTCTGGCTCTTGCCCAGGGAGTTTTTTCGTCGAACTGGGGCGGCTTCATGGAGAGCTTTCCTGGTTCGGAACTGAGTTTGACATCTTTCAGTTCCGGAATTGAGTTTTCGGAAACATTTTCTGTGCTGTAGGCAGAATTAACGATTTGGTTTTGCAATTTGCTAATTGTTTCCTCCATCTTGCTGATTTCTGCCTGAACTCCGCCTTTGATTTCCTCTACTCCTGTGTTCATTTCCTTCCTGATTTTGTCTATCTCTGTCTCGATGGTTCCTATCCTTTCTTCGAGTAGACTCGCCACACAATAAAGTTCTTTGAGTCTTCATTTCTAGAAGTTTGTCTGCCAAACTCTTCGAATTTTCCAGAAGCTTCCCCTCCAGGCACTTCGAACTTCGAATAAACTTCGAATAAATATGTTTCGGGATCTTCTCCTGATTCAGTCAAGTTATCCCACAGTCTCTTCTGGAGTACTGATTTCTTTCCAGAACAATCTTGTAATAAATTCATCAATGACCTTGAATAAATCTTCTTCTCGAGTGTAACCTTTCAACGGCAATATTGCTAGCAACTCTTCCCTAAAAATCTGATACTCAATATCAAGAAATCTTACGAAAATAGACGTTTGTTTATCATCAACAATGTCACATCATTCATCAAGTGCTATGGCGTAGCAAGGAGCCTTTTACAAAAGTTCAAGAAGAGTGTTTTTAATATCAGCAGCAAAAATTTCCGTTTTATGCAGCGACAACATCTTTTTTTCTTCTTAAGTGCCGTGCCTATTTCTAACATACATTTTTTCACCATCTCAGAATCTGAAAATGGTTTCTGCTGTTTATTAAGCGTCTAGCACACACGTAGCGCTGCTTCTGTGGGTTTTTCTTGCTCTCTTACGTAACGAACTAGTAATCTTGTTTTTTTTTATGAGGACTGAGATTGAAGTTTTTCATATTATTGCCAACAGGAAAGCTTTCATGAAATTACTGATGCGTTGTTTCGTAGTGTCGCTTCAAACTACCACTGTTAACAATAGCGACAGTTTTATTGCATATAAAGCACACTGGAACCGCTTGAGGCCTATTAGGCAGCGTAAAACAATATTGTTCAGTCTATTCTGCCAGAATACGAAAACGAACGAAAATATTATGAAAACGCGAAAAATCACAAAACAAATGAATGGTTGCTCCGAGGTTTGTGCTACGACTGACAGTCTGCTTCCCCCGCCCACACGCCCGCTAGCTTCAACAAAACAAAATAGTGACAAGCGCGCACAAACACACATACACACAGGGTAGATAGGAAACTAATAAAACCATATCAGTAGTAAGTACTAAACAGGTATAACCTGTATAAAACAGGTTGACTAGGCAACTTGAAATAAAATAAGTACATCATTAGTTGAATTCTGTGTGGCTTAAAAATATTACTTCAATTAATAAAGGTATAGTATACCGTATTCACGTATTCATTTTTATACTGGTACTAGTACTATGCTGCTGTATCGTTACTGTTCAAAAAAAGATGTCAAGATGTCTGACACCGAAGATGTTAGTCCGTTTACTCTGATTCAAATTCATTCAAATGTTTTAATATACAGGGTGTCCCTGGACTTCCTCTTTTCCTCTCGGGAATGTATAGATGGGGTCAAAATATCACCAGTACTTCATATAACTTTTTTTCCGCTAGCTTCAACAAAACAAAATAGTGACAAGCGCGCACAAACACACATACACACATACACACAGAGTAGATAGGAAACTAATAAAACCATATCAGTAGTAAGTCTAAACAGGTATAACCTGTATAAAACAGGTTGACTAGGCAACTTGAAATAAAATAAGTACATTCTTAGTTGAATTCTGTGTGGCTTAAAAATATTACTTCAATTAATAAAGGTATAGTATACCTTATTCACGTATTCATTTTTATACTGGTACTAGTACTATGTTGCTGTATCGCTGCTGTTCAAAAAAAGATGTCAAGATGTCTGACACCGAAGATGTTCAGTCTGTTTACTCTGATTCAAATTCATTCAAATGTTGTAAAAAAACACCACTGCATATTTTGTGTGCATCAAATGTTTTAATATATACCATAAAAGCTGTGCTTTAAGAAAAAAGAAGGACATTACCTTTACCGGAAGAAACAAAATAGTGTGCTGCCAAACCGAATATGTAAGTGAAACTGAAGACGAACCCGATTCCAGCATTCTACAACAAACACTTTCTGAGCTGATTGAAGACGAAAATTGGAAAATCAATCATATAAATAACGTTGATGAAATAACAGTTGATGAGAGCAAAGTAATTACTAATTGCTCTACCACTATTACGGCATCAGCTGGCGATTAATAGCAGAAGTGCTTCCAAAAACAATTCAGGGACAAGAGTGTATTATCCCTTGCAAAGAAGCATCTACTCCAGCTGCAAAAACCATACTGGTCATTGGAGATGAGTACTCAAAGAATTTTCCTTATTTACTGAAAAAATCAATAGACGTATCCAAATACCATGTAAGAGAAATATTCAACTCCAACGCAGAACCTGCTGACTTGATTAAAAACATTTTTCATGAAACTATAAATTTCGGTAGTGACGATTATGTTATTGTCATGTTCAATACTTGCAATGTAAGTAATAATCGCCTTTTAAATCTAGCACTAAGACAAATATTGCCTCTGGGTAATGTCACTAACATCTTGATAATTCCTGAGAGAAACTCATCTTATGATGAAATCTT